ACACTGTTGGAGGCCATTTTATGATTGTCTATTTTTCATCAGCTGTTTCCTCTTCAAGCTAAAGTCTATGTTTAATGTGCTTCCCTTTTTTGTTCTAATTGTCCTGTCATTTTCTAGAATAATGTGCTGTGAAATTTCAGGCTTCTTTTAGCACTTCCCAGAGTTCTTCTTTAGATTTACCTTGTCTTTCTTTTTTGCCCAGATGATCTCATAAAGCCTCTATAATATCCAGGTCTGGACACTGTGGAGGCCATTTTATGACCCTCTATTTTTCATCAGCTGATTCCTCTTCAAGCTTTAGTCTTGGTTTAATGTGGCTTCCCTTGGCAACTGTTTTGTTCTAGTTCTCCTGTCATTTTCTAAAACAATGTGCTGTGTAATATCAGATGCCTTTTAGCACTTTCCAGAGTTATTCTTTAGGTTTAGAGTGTGTTATCTTTCTTTATAGTCCAGGTGATCTCATACAGCCTCTATAATATTGAGCTTCGGTCCCTGTGAAGGCCATTTCATGATTGTCTATTTTTCATCAGCTGATTCCTCTTTAAGCTTAAGTCTAGGTTTAATATGGCTTTCCCTGGTAACTGTTTTGTTCTAAGTGTGCTGTCATTTTCTGAAATAATGTGATGTGAAATAACATCAGGCTTTTTTAGCTCTTCCCAGAGTTCTTCTTTAGGTTTAGAGTGTCATATCTTTCTTTTTCTGTGCAAGGTGATCTCATACAGCCTCTATAACAGGGGTCACCAACCCTGTTCCTGGAGAGCTGCCTTCCTGCAGAATTCAGTCCCAACCCTGATCAAACACACCTGAACCAATTAATAGTACCTAAAGCAGCACTTGATAATTACAAGCAGGTGTGTTTGGTCAGGGTTGCAACTAAAATCTGCAGGAAGGTAGCTCTCCAGGAACAGGATTGGTGACCCCTGCTCTATAATAATCAGATCTGGACACTGTGGAGGCCATTTTATGACTGTCTATTTTTATCAGCTGTTTCCTCTTGAAGCTAAAGTCATGTTTAATGTGGCTTCCCTTGTTTTGTTCTACCTGATCTGTCATTTTCTGAAATAATGTGCTGTGTAAATAACATCAGGCTTCTTTTAGCACTTTCCAGAGTTCCACTTCTTTAGGTTTAGAGTGTCATATCTTTCTTTTTGTCCAGGTGATCTCACACAGTCTCTATAATATTTAGCTCTGGACACTGTGGAGGCCATTTCATTCTCCAAATAGGATTTCGCTGCCATAGTGGAGCATTATTATGCTGAAAATGAAAACTATCACCTGAAATCCGTTCCAGACAGAATGGCATAATGGATTAAAACCTAGCTGTACTTTTCAACACTCACTATTCCATTAATTCAGACAACATCGCTAACAACACTAGAAGAAGTGCAGCTCAAACCAGGACAAACAGTCTCTCTCCAACATTGTCTTAAACAATTAAACCAAAATAATTAAATTTCTAACCTAATCCCTATCCTAACAAAACATACATCAACTGAAAAATCATTTATTCATCCTGTAAAAAATCTCAATTTAATAAAAACGGACAGAAAATGTACACTTATGACTGGTTTTGTGGTAAAGGGTGACGTATATCCATTACACCCTCAGTAAAACAACAGATTAATGTTGGCCTAAAACCTTTGCACAGTACTGTATGTATATATACATGTTGCATCATTCATCAGAATCAAACTGGATTTGACCGGATTAAGCGATTGATCAACTTAAAGAGTCGTAATGAGGGAAACTATTTGAGCCTGAAGGAAAAAAACATCAACAATATTAACTTCAAAAAGATGAAAATGTGCGCGTGCGGATTAGAGATCTGCTTGCGAATGATGCAACCTTTCCACAATTCCCTAGAAATACAAGTAAATGCGCTGCGGCTCATACGGCTTACTCTCCTCTCCAGCAAAATAATCAATTGACACGCTCGTTGGCCTCGCCGCTAGTTATTGAGTCTCCCAGCCATCGCTATATGCGTCACAAAGTCAATACATACCACATCTATGCTGCTTTGCCACCTTGAACACTGCCAAAATAATGTCCGGAAGTCTAGGGATTATATGAATTTGTAATATCTCATCAAATGAGCAGCGTTTGGGGTTAACAAATTAATCTTGTGTAAAGTCAAATCCGTGCAAATGATATTAATGGTGTATTTTACATTTAAAAAGATAAACTTTAGTTTATGACTATAACAAAAGATGCTGGAGTGTCTGATGCACAAACAGAGGCTTTCATGGATTATTGTGTGATTTTAAAGTTTGCTAATTTGGTTTTGGAGCTTCCTGCTAGAGGTTTACCTCCATTCAAGGTCAAAAAACATTTTAATATTTCCATAACATCAATAGATATTCTTCATAGACAGCCAATAATGGTCATAGAGTCACTGTAAAAAGTATTTCTTAATTTCCATTTCCGTATTTTGTGATTTACATGTGTTTATCTATGGTTTTGAATTGCACTATGGTTACTTGACCTCTGCTCTGATGACTTTTACTAATGAAATTTCAACTCTGCAGTTTACCAAAGTGTCTTTTATTGACTTTTTAGTAGTTTGAAACAATATATTGTATAGAAAATGTTTTAATTATTTGCAGTTTATTACCAGGTGTCTGTACTATAATTTACACTGCCAACCCAGAAAATACATCAATGTAAACTATTAAATCTTAATAAAAGTCACTATTTCAATCTTTTAAACTTTTATAGTTGTCAGAGGAAAGATTAGGGTCTCATAATGCGATTCAAAAGAATAAATAAATGAAAAACTGCTAATTTTCAGATTTCTTTTACAGCGCTGATGTTATGCAAATTTGTTTTAAACCTAGTTGAAGATAAATGATCAGGCCTTCAGAAAATGTTTAACTGAAATATTTCACAAGTGCTGTTTAACGAAGAGATTTTTAAACATAATAGTTTTAATAACTAATTTCAATAACTAAATGAAATATATTTATTTATAAATATAGTGTAATTAGTTATTGTATTTTATATTCATTCATTCATTCATTTTCTTTTAAGCTTAGTCCCTTTATTAATCTGGCGTCACCACAGCGGAATGAAGCGCCAACTTATCCAGCATATGTTTTACACAGCAGATGCCCTTCCAGCTGCAGCCCATCACTGGGGAAGTATTATATATCATAATAAATAATTTCAATAATTTTAGATATATAAATTATATATTATAATTATTATAAATAAATGACACATATTTCAGTCATAGGTTTTATTTCTTAGAATATATATTAATAGCTTTTTCCGAGTCACTAGTATTCAGCTTAAAGTGCAATGTAAAGGCTTAACTAATTGATCAGGTGATTGCCAATTAAGTCATTGGACAACAGTGTTTTGTTCTGTAGCCAACTAAAAAAAAAAAAACTAAAAAAAAAAAAATACATATATATATATATATATATATATATATATATATATATATATATATATATATATATATATATATATATCAGTGCAATTGGTGCATTAAAATAATCCTTTTATTTACTCTTCTTGGTGATGATGTTATGATGGCGTAACAATGACGTATTTATTTTTAGATGCGCAAGGCTTAAATAAAAATGGTGTTTTAGAATGAAGATAAGAGTTTGATCAAAGGTTTACGAGAACTAAAAGATGACAGTGCTTCATGTTTTCTTCATTATTTTTTCCAACTAATAACTGGATCGGATTACTTGTTGGCGAAAATTGATCGCACTGGATCAGTATGTTGTGTGGCGGGGAGTGCTCGTCCACACACTGCCCGTACTGTTGAAAATATCACCACTTTCGAAGACATGGTACTGAGCAAGAAGACGCAGAAGAAGAAGAAGGTAATGTCGTAATATAAATCAGATGAAGTGGAAAACATACATGTCATATAATTTTATATATTTGCCATCTAATAACAAAATATAATTCCAGTTGGAGGTATTTTGACGAAACTCTGACAGAATTAATTTTGCGTCTGCCTACAATTCCTGCAACAGTTATCAATTAATTAATAAAGCAATTGGTTGTTTTGAAGTCAACATGAAATTAAATGTGAATTAATGTGAAATGAAAACATTTTTTTAAAAATATATACCTGTTTATTTCCAAAGGGATGTTTAACACAGCAAGGAAGTCACACAATATTTATCAGAATGTAATGCAAATTTATCAGTTGCAATCAGAATTATTAGGCCCCCATTGAATCTTATTTTTCTTTTTTAAATATTTCACAAATGTTGTTTGGCAGAGCAAGGAAATTTTCACAGTATGTCTGATAATATTTTTTCTTGTGGAGAAAGTCTTATTTGTTTTATTTCAGCTAGAATAAAAGCAGTTTAGAATTTTTAAAATCCATTTTAAGGTAAAAATTGTTAGCCCCTAAGCTATTAAGCTATATATGTTTCGATAGTCTACAGAACAAACCATCATTATGCAATAACTTGCCTAATTACGCTAACCTGCCTAGTTATCCTAGTTAAGCCTTTAAATGTCACTTTAAGCTGTATAGTATCTTGAAAAATATGTAGTCAAATATTATTTACTGTCATCATGGCAAAGATAAAATAAATCAGTTATTAGAGATGAGTAATAAAACTATTATTATTAGAAATGTGTTGTAAAATCTTCCCTCCGTTAATCAGAAATTGGTGAAAACAATAATCAAGGGGGTGAATAATTTTGATTGTAATCGTATATGTTTGAAAAAGTTTATTCTAGCTAAATGAAACAAAATAAGACTTTATCCACAAGATAAAATACTGTAAGAAATACTGTTTCATTGTTAACTTCAAAACAACCAATTATTAATTATTTGATAACTGTTGCAGGAATTGTAGGCGACACATTTCAGACAATTTACAATCACTTCTTTCTTTTGGAAAAAAAAAACTCCATTTATCTGCACTATGACAAAAAAGCACTATAAATATGACATGACAGTGGTGTTTGAAAACAGCTCTAAGATTCTTCATCACTACAGAGAAGAATAATCATCAGAGACTGACCTCTTCTTCTCAGACTCATATTTGCTGAGCAGTTTCTGCAATCCCCCGTTCTTGAAGCCTTGCGAATGGGCTGCCGGAGCTCCTACTGTGACCACATCATAGCAGGAATCTGTGAAGGAAACAGCAAAACATTCTTCAACAGGCCTCGCAAATCACAAACAAGCCCACAGCGCACCATTTACGTCTGCGTTTGGTCTTGGTTTATGTGCTTCCCGTTGTTCGGTGAACACATCCAAACAGCCTGTTCCTCTATTTCTCTGAAGGACCTGCGATCCGTCTGTTGAACAGTAAACAGTAGAGCCGTTTAAACGTGTGGGATGTGTGGAAAACAAGCAGCTCCAGAGGCTTTGCTTTGTCTTTCTTTGCTGTATTGTAGCTTAACGGCAAGACTGAAGGAATAATGCTGAAGAGTGAAGATGAAGCTGAAATGTTTGTTGAAAAGTCAATATCCTTCAGTTTCATCCCAACTATTTTATTAAATAATGTTATAGGCAAATTTATTCAGTACTAAGTGCACTCACTATACGGAGAGATTCAGCACAAGCACATTTCATACCAGATCTGTGTTATAATTTGGAAAAAAAATTAATATATAAAAAAATATCTCCCATGATTGCAAACAGACACAGCTGAAGCTGTTCAGGACTAATTACACAGACTATTTATACACTTTCAAACACACACACACATTGCTGAGTCTTGTTATACTGCTTTTGGGAACATTACGATGCGTTTCCCGTGCCTTGCTGTGCCATGTTTTTGACGCTCGCCTTGTTTGTTTGTTTATGTTGTCTGCTGCCTGCCTTTCTGACCACCCGCCTGTTTTACGACCATAACTCTAGATTGCCTGTATACATCTGTTTCCCCCAATGACTGTAAAAAATATGGACGACGCGACAGCCCTTTTTCCCATTGAACGCCTTGAGGGCAAAACGCCTGCTTGACGGGCACAAACTGTCGCAAAAGACTGCTGAAATTGGAGCCAGACATGCGCAGAAGGACTGTCTGATGGAGCCAGAGGAGGAGCCGCGAAAATGAGCAGAGTCGAGCTTCCAATCAAACGCTTTATGTAAAATCAACTACGCCCCCCGAACTTCTCAGCATGCGTTTGCTGTCATATCAACACAAATGGATGTAATAACGTTAACAAATATGAGGGTTTTATATATTCAATCGCGCCAGCTCCAGGCCGCAGCGCATAACTTACTCGCGGCGTCGCGGGCTGATTCCGGCTCGCATGCGGCAGCGCCTGCTCGCTCGGCCGCCGCATCTGGCTCGATTGACTCGGGCTGGAATTGGGTAGTGAGTCCAGGCATCCGGAGTAGGTCCAGCAGAGGTAACATTAGTCAGTCTGAGCTCTAAGAGATAAGTCTCCGGCAGGCGAGAATCTAGCCGGAACTGTGTTTTGCTATCTGGGTGGCTAGGCGTGTATCAGCAAACTAATAAAGCCCTGAACTTAGCGAATAAACAGTGTTCCACCAGGATCATGTATGTCAGAAACTATAGTTTACTGCTGAACTCATTTTGTCATGGTAAAATAACACAGAAATCGAATAATAACATTTCAGTCTACTTCAGTCTCCTGCCGAAGCTCAGACGCCACGCTTTGAGAAACTGTCAATCACAGCTGTCAATCACGATGACACGCCCAGCATTAAATTACTGCTAAAAACAAACTGTTTACAAAAATGAAGATCTGCACCTATTTCAGCACAATAACCAGTGCCTTAATCGACCAGAACTATCTTTCGGGACATTTTATTGCAAGTGTAATATTTTTTTTTATTTGGGCTCAAGTCTCCTTCATTAACACGGAGGAGGCGGGCTTTATGACTTGTACTGCAGCCAGCCCCCAGGGGGCGATCTAACGGCCGAAACCTTCACTCAAACGTAGGCTTGCGGCACACTTGGTTTCCCCCCTGTGTTGACCGTTGCTAGCCTGACCATCTCTGTTCAATATACCTGCGTTTGGATCAGCACTTCCTTTGTCAGCATCCGCTTCACATTACACTATCGTATATTAAAAATCACAGTTTAGGAAATATTGTGTAGAATGTAATATAATATAATTAAAAACAATTCTAATCATATACAGTTAGACAGTTATAAGAAATATATCATAACATTTCTTATTAATATATTATTTCTTAAATTATTCTTATTTTTAAAAGCTGTATAAAAATGTTGTTTATGTAACAAATAGTGTGCGTATATATATATATATATATATATATATATATATATATATATATATATATATATATATATATATATATATATATAGAGAGAGAGAGAGAGAGAGAGAGAGAGTGAGAGAGAGAGAGAGGGAGATAGACTTACATTTAAAATAAGAATATAAATTGTATATTATTAAATGTATTATAGAAAAATAAAACAATGCTAATAATAAATAATTATAAGAAATATATCAGAATTTTTTTTTCATGGATTTGTTTCAGTTTTATCACATATTTTAGATTTACAATAATATTATATATATTGCATAAAAATGTTGTTATTATATGTCTTAATATATTATATATTATACATATATTATATATAATAATTATAAAACTATTATTTGTTTGTGTCACTATATATATATATATATATATATATATATATATATATATATATATATATATATATATATATATATATATATGTATATAGACAGTTGAAGTCAGAATTATTCACCCCCCTTTTGATTTTTTTTTTCTTTTTTTTAATATTTCCCAAATTATGTTTAACAGAGCCAAAAAAATTTCACAGTATGTCTGATACAATATTTTTTTTTATAAGTCTTATTTTATTTTTTATTATTTGGCTAGAATAAAAGCAGTTTTAAATTTTTTAAAAACCATTTTAGGGACAAAATTATTAGCCCCTTTGAGCTATTTTGTTTTTTTGATAGTCTACAGAACAAACCATGGTTATACAATAACTTGCCTAATTACCCTAACCTGCCTAGTTTACCTAATTAACCTAGTTAAGCCTTTAAATGTCACTTTAAGCTGTATAGAAGTGTCTTGAATAATATCTTGTCAAATATTATTTACTGTCATCATGGCAAAGATAAAATAAATCAGTTATAAAAGATGAGTTATTAAAGCTATTAGGATTAGAAATGTGCTGAAAAAATCTTCTCTCCGCTAAAAAGAAATTGGGGGAAAAAAATAAAGGGGGGGGGGGGGTTAATTCTGACTTCAACTGTATATATACAGTTGACGTTTTTTCAGCACAGAAAGAGAGATTTAAATATAATATAATATCAAAACATTCAATAAATTGTATATTATTAAATGTATTAAAACAACTTTAGGAAATTATAACTGGATTTCTTAATATACATGCCTTGTAGAACCTATATTTGCTGTGTGTATGTATAAAGTAGAACTATGCTATATATATCAATATAAACACAACAAGGCTGATAATATATAACTATAATAATAAAGCAGATTTAGAATGATACATTTCCTCTACTTTCCCTTCTATCCAGCTCACAAGTGAGTCAGATTTTTTATCATGGCCTATGCAGATAATCCAACCACCTTGTTTCATAAAAAATAGCATATGCTAATTGATTTCCTGGAATCTCAGTCTTTTTCTCTTATTTAAACATCTCCTGAATATTAGTTTAAAAGCACCTCGTGGAAACAGAAAATTGCAGTCCTCCAAGAATTCAATCTCAGGCATCATTAGTCTACTAAACATTCAGAGCTGTACGAGAGATGTGAAGGAGAAACGGCTCGCTATGTCAACCAATAACGGTTTGACTGCATATTCCTGCTTGTATATTTTCTGAGCTATACATTTGCGAGGTTGTGAAAGTGTTCAAACTGTGCTTTCTGACAACACAATTCACACAGACTTTATGGATTCATCCCAATGGCTTTGATTGACCTCAGATCAGGCTGCTCTGTTGAAAGAATCAAAGAGATCATCTATTAAATACAACAGAAAAATCTGAATCCTGTCATCTTTTATTCACCTTCAACTTGTTCCAAAGCTTACTATCCTCTGTTAAACACAAATAAGATATTTTGAAAAAACTCGGAAACACATAGAGAGTTTTAAAGGGATAGTTCATTCATTCATTCATTCGTTTTCTTTTCGGCTAAGTCCCTTTATTAATCTGGGGTCGCCACAGCGGAATGAACCGGCAACATATCCAGTATGTTTTACACAGCGGATGCCCTTCCATGTTTGTGGAAATATTCACAAACACTCATTCACACATATACACTAGTCAATTTAGCTTACCCAATTCACCTGTACCACGTTTTTGGACTTGTGGGGGGAAACTGCAGCACCCGGAGGAAACCCACGCGGGGAGAACATGCAAACTCCACACAGAAATGCCAACTGACTCAGCCGGGGCTTGCTGCTGTGAGGCGATTGTGCTATAAATTAATGTATATTTAATTATTATTTACTTAATCTCTAGTGGTTTCAAATCATTTTTGAGATAGAATGTTGTAAACTGGCAGCCACTGACATCCATAGAAGGAAATTGCTGCCAGTTTACAACTTTGTTCTAAATATCTTCTTTTGTGAATCTCAAAACGTTTTGAAACTACCTGAGAGTAAATTATGATGAACTACCCCTATAAAACCCTCTGATCCTCTAAAGTGGATTTATGCAGAATGATTTAAAGAGCTTGGTAACAAAAAACGTAATAGATAAAATTAAAAATACAAAAAAAATAAATAATATATATATATATATATATATATATATATATATATATATATATATATATATATATATATATATATATATATATATATATATATATATATATATATATATATATATTTATTTATTTATATATATATATATATATATTAAATAAAAAGATTAAAAAAATGTATTATATATGTATATATATATATATATATATATATATATATATATATATATATATAAAATACATTTTTAAAATCTTTTTATTTAATTATTACACTGTAAATCAAATTACAACCAATTGTTTAGCAAAAGAGGCAAGTCTATCATGAAATATATATCTACTAAAAGACAGAAAACATTACTTTACAAGCTGCATTGTACATATATCAAACACATTAGCATATTATTTAAAAATA